TTTTCTCGTCCTTTCCACTGATCTCTATAATAACTGGATAGCGCATCTCCTAATAAAATTTCAAAATTTTTGAAGCCAAAAGACACCATATTGGAAAGCCCCAGAATTTATAAATCCGTAGTTGCGTTAAACTTATAAGCGCTTAAAACACAGATTTTGCTTGATAAATAAAAAATGCAAAAACCTTATAAATGCATTGATTATTAAAAACCGAGTAAATCTGATGATATATGTTCAGATTATTTCATGGAGAGTGACATAAATATATATATATATATATATATATATATATATATATATATATATATATAATATATATATATATATATATATATATATATATATATATATATATATATATATAAATTATGTATACAGGGTGGCCAGCCACTTTCAAGAATTAAATTCCCTGACTTTTTATATTTTTCCCTGACTCAGTTATATTTTGAAGTGTGAACTTTTAAGTTTTGTTGTTTGGGAGTAAGTAAAAAAAAACCTTAAAAAAAAATTAAATTTTCAAAAAAGACATTTTCCCCTGATTTTCCTGACTAGAAAAAAATTATCTGACTTTTCCATGATTTCCAGTTAGCTGGCCACCCTGGTATAATATTATTATAATAGCATGCAAGTGTATATTAGTATGCACCTTTTGATTCTTAATTGCCCTCTGCAAAATGCCTGAGGCTTGTAACATATTTGCAAGGTAAACAGCTTACAAGTTTGCTGTATGAATCATTAGTTAGGCAATGTGATTGTAACACAACCTAAAGGTTCCTTAGGCAACATATAGCAAATCTTTATATTTACCTTTAATAATTTTGTTCTTGCGTGTATATATATATATATGTATATATATATATATATATATATATATATATATATATATATATATATATATATATATATATATATATATATATATATATATATATATAAATTAACTTAACGCTTAACTGTCGAAAAATACTTTCAAGACATTTTTGTAAATGCCATTAGACATTTTCACAACACCAAAACATTTGTATAAGATATTGCAATTACAAAAGAATATGTTAAAGTAAAAAAATATAAATAAAATAATAGTTAGCTCTATCATCTTGAACAAAATAATCATTGAATAACTTGTATAAGCATTGAATAACAAAATAAACATTGAATAAAAAGGTATTATGTGGTAGGGAAAAGTAAAAAAGTATGTACACTTGAAAAAAAAATTGTTCACCTTTCATTTTGGTCTTTTATGTTGCTTATTTGTTTTCACAAGAGATATTTTAAATATTTATTAATTATACAACTAATATTTATCAGTATAAAACTGATAGATGTTAGCAGAATTATTATTGTTTTACTTTAGAGTCAATAGTTGTAAAAAAACTTGAAAGAAACCATGTCTGTTTTCATTTATATCATATTTACATATAAACAATCAACATGTATGTGATGCTGTTATTTAGTCTAAAACACAAAATACTTTAATGTAAAACTGCAAATAACTAGTTATCACCAAATATCCAGTGTTTTTTAAAGTTAGAGATGGCTTTTTCAAACCTTCACAAAGTGTAATTAAAGTTAGCAAAGCAACAGAACAAAACATTGTTATTAAGTGATATCAATTTTAATAAAGTATTGCATAGTTGATGATATTACAGTTGTGGAACAATATAAACATGCCCTCAGAGTTTCAAAAATTAGAAAACCATTTACAAAAATGTTTGATACAATGTTTTTATCATGTTTTATACTTGTAAAGTTACTTTCCAGCTACTATTGCTAAGTAAGGTCGCATCAAGTTGTTAAAATAAACACCCAAAAGTAACCAGATCAAATATCAATTTGTCTTTTAGAAAAGTTTTATTTAGAATATCATGAATTCAATAAATTTAACAAGTTCATAGAAAGCAATACAAATTTTATTATTTCTTTATAGCGATATTTCTCTTCGTCGTTAATGTTTTGCGTGTTTTTGATTCCCTTTTATAATTTTTACACCTTTAAACATTTTAAATATAATAATATCATTGAAATATGTGACTTGGTCGAGTAGATATAAACGAAGTAATAAGGTACATCTTCAAGCGCAATCACTGTATTTTCGGTATTCTGGGGCTTTCCAATATGGCGGCCGTACAAAATATTGGCTTCACTTTTGATATTAGAGATGCGCTATCCAGTTATTATAGAGATCAGTGGTCCTTTCCGAAAATTGGAAAATTTATCACTTTCAGTTTTGTAAAACCTTTCTAATGACGCGAAATGTCATTATTAAAATTATTAAAAGGTGTTTTAATAATGGCGATTCTTGTATGAAGAGGCCACAATTACTTATTGGATAATTGTTAGATAACATATGTGTTTTATATTTAGATATGTATATAGATAAATAAAATATACAAAGATTGTTTATATAGTAAAGAAAAACTATATATAACTTTATATGACATATATATGTCGTGACATGTTTTTTTTTACTTTATATGTCATTAAATTATTATATATCATAATATGATATATATGACAATATGATATATGATATATATGAATCGATTCATATATAATATAGTAACATACATATATAATATAGTAACAAGATATAACAGTAAAAAAAATTATATGTGTACTGCTAATAATAATCGAAAGTACTTTGAGTTACAGGAAAGTTCGAGTTATCTGAGGTTTGAGATATTGGGAGTTTACTGTATTCTTATATTTATTATTTTTACATTCCATCTACATAGAATTTTGAATTTTATGCTGAAAGTTGCACTTTTATATATATATATATATTTTAAATTTTAATTTATTATACTTTTGCAACATTTAATAAAAATACGTATGATAAAGCTTTATTAATATATCAATGATTTAACATTTAGTGCACAAACAAATTAAATAATACATTTATTAATGTTAGAATATGATTGTTTTATGTTTTAATGGTGAAAAAATCAAAATTTTACACGATATTTTTAGTAGAAAATTTTATAAGGATTTCTTGAAAAAATAATGACAAAATTGATAGTTTTTCGTAACTTCAAATGTTATAACTTTTCCAATTCTTATCAAAATTTATACAATTTGGTATAAAAACAAAGATATAAAAAAGACAAGGCCCTCTACAACACCCAGTAATATGTTACAAATGTATATTTGTTAATGAAAGTTTTGTGTTTTTTATTGAAATTTTGGATTTTTATTTGCAATTTTTTATATTCTAACAGATGATCATTAAATATGATAGATAAACAAGTAGAAAAGAATATAGTAATACATAATACTCTCCTCATATGTAACACTCTCCTTAAACGTAAATCAAATTGTTTAAACCGGATATGATGATTAAATATTGTATCGGCATGGTTTTATCTGTCTACTTTGCTTTTTCAATTTGGTTGCCAGCTTCAACCCAATTCTTGATTTAGAACTATGATTTTGAACTAAAACATTTCCGTATTGAATAAAATACTATTTATTCTTTACTGTATTTTTTTTGAGGCTTCAGTTATCAAATGTTGGTGGTAATTTTAGTTATGCCACTGTGAAAGTGTCGATTGTTAAGTATGTGTTTACTTTTTGTATTTTGTTTTGCCATGCAAATGATTTTTAATAATAATTACTTAATTATTAACTAATAAGTTTTATTTTGTTAAATTATTTATTATGGTTATTGTTTATCTGTATACATTACACTATAGAGTATATGTAAATGCATGTGCAATAGCATAGGTTGTATTTTTTTATGTATTCACATAAGACATTTTCAAGCACATTGTCCAATCTGCAAACTTAATTATTTTTATCCTTATGTCGAATGACAACGTTTTGCCCTTTCCCATCCCTGAATGTGAGGGAAATGAGTTCTGTAAATAAAAGTATTTTATTTATTATTAAATTAAATTTCATCAACAGGCTTGTAACTTTATTAGTATTTTAGCTTTCAAAAGTTTTGACCATATAAAGATTAGTTTCCCTCCTTAAATGAGGAGGTTGCAAATTGTACATCATCATAACTTTTGAATGCTAATATGAACTCATTTCCCTCATATTCAGATATAGGAGAGCAAAATTTTTTTGGTATTTTAGTTTTCAAGCACCTATGTATTATTTATAACAAATAATAGATTATAGTTTATTTTTTTCATTGTCATTCCAGGAAGACATAAAAAGTTTGAAGTATGCACAAAGCCTGTCAAATATGGAACCTAAAAAAACCTGCCTTTGCCACTAACTGTATAAAGGTTTTTTAAGGTAAGAGCTTAAATAAATTAGCAGAAAAAAAATATTATAAGTTATACATTTTTATACTAAAATAGAATAAAAATATATATTTGTAGTTTCAGTTTTTATTGTCACAAATATTAAATATTTGTCACACAGAATACAGATATTGATGTCTGTCGTCTTTAATGTCATTAATGCTTTATCTACTGTTTTCTTTTTGTGCATGACCTAATTTCTTTTCATATCCATATTTTTTAGGTCTGTTTGTCAAGCGTCAAGTCAGATTATCTTGCTACTGGTACCATGTAGTACATCCTGCTTAAGCAGGTTGTACGCCATCCATACGACGTTTGGGCATCTGTTTGTAAAATATTGCTGCAAATCTTTTTGAGAGAGCCATTTTTATGGAGAACCATCTAAACCATACAAGTGTGGAAACATGGATGTAAATCTTAAACACATTTGTGATATATAATTGTAGAATGTTATATGTTATAAGTTTGGTAATTATATTCTGCTAAAAAAACCTTTTAAATGTATTTTAGCAGAACATACCTGGCGCGCATTCGATCCTGAAAAATATTCTTTTTGGAACAAATGCTGGCTGGGTAATTTGGACTTGTAAATGAACTTATGTTCATAATTTTTAAACTGCTTATGATCTGATCTGATTTTATTTTTGTCATTTGTTTATTTAGATTAATGTGAAATAAACTGATGAGTTTATTTAACTTAGTTGGTAAAAAAAAAAGTTTTTGTGAAACAAATTTAATGAAGACAATTATAGGTATACCTGTTAATGTAATTTTTTTTTTTTTTTTTTTTTTTTTTGTATGCTTAGTTTTGACGAATTTTTAAATACTGCAAACTCACACTCGCACAAAAATCAACTTTGAACTCTTATTTAATCAGTTTCAAAAGTTGACTTTGAAATTTTTGTATAAGATATTATAGCTTATTTATTAGACTGTGTTTTTAGAATGAGGTTCATTCATTTGCTGGCAACATTTTTAAACGTGGTCCAGATCGAAAAACTTTGGTGCTAGAAATTGTCGATAGTGGAAGTGATAGATGCATCGAACCTAATTTGTAATTAATTTCTGTAAATAAATTTTACTTTACTAATTTTTGTGTTGAATTCTTGTTTTTCTAATGGTATTTGAAATTAATAAGTCTAAAAATTAACGTATAAAAAAATACGTACCAAATAAGACCTATTTATGGCATTCCATACCTAATGTTTTTCATTATTTCTAAACTGTAACTTAAACTAAACTCAATTTCTTAGTCCTATCGGGACGTCTTTTTTATGTTCCTCGTAAGGCGTCTTTTTTACGTTCCTTTCAGGACGTCTTTTTCACGTTCCTTCTGGGACGTCTTTAAAACGTTCCACGCAGGACGTCTTTCTGTATTTCCAAATCCAACCAATATAAGACGTCCGATCGGGACGTCTTAAAGACGTCTTAAAGCTGTCCGCGTGCCCACTGGGTGCTACTACCCTTTGATTTTATTACTGATTAAGTTAGGAAAAAGTTATAGTTCCAATCAAATTTTGGCTTATTTTGTTATATCACTGCAATATTATGCTTGCAGCAATTTATAATATAAGCTTATATTGTTATTTTGCATTTTAAATCCCATTGAATTAAACACAAAAACCGTATAACCTATAGCAGTATAGTTTACTCAGCGCAATTAATATAGCACGAACACAAAATTAGATAACCGAAAAAAAATGACGCAAAAAACTTTAAATCAATGGTGTACATGCATTTTTTGAAGAATAACTTTCAAAATGTTTCAAAACGTAGAAAATAAGGCGTTTTACTAAAAAAATGCAAAATATAGACATAATTCATTTTTTTTTCAAAAATAAATGTAAGTGTTTCAATTAAGTGATGTTATTGGAAAAGATGGTTCAAAAACAAAGTATTCGCAATTCAATCGATATGGTATATATAAATCAAGAAGAACTGGAAAGCGCAGAATTAAGTCTTCAGGTAACTTAGTATTTTAGTTTGTTTTGCGACAAAGTCTTGCGTCTTTCTTAATGTAGGGCTTTCAAGTATGCTATAGCATAAAATGGTAACATTTAAAAAATGAGGTTTTATTAGTTTTATATTTATATATTAGTTGATGCGTTAATAACAATCAGCTTTAAAATTAAGGTCAATAAAACTTTTTTTAGGTTTTTTATTGTGATATGGCTATCCATATAAATCAAATTGAAAGTCACTCACATATCCATTATGTGAAAGTAATGCTTTAAATTTTTAATAATTTAGGAACATGCAAGAGTCAGAAAAATTGCACATCAACCCTCAAAGAAGTTACAAACAGTGATGAAAAATAAAAGTTGAAGTCTGCTAAACTCATTACGGGCATACCGAAGACATGCATCACACTTGGATAACTGAACGTCAACGCCAAGAAATCGTTTCTAAATTACAAAACGCAGAAAAATTCTTGATGATATAAGGTAATTTGTTTCATGTTTTCAAGTTCACAAAAGAACTGAATTATGTTGTATATTAAAAGACTCACCACTAATTCATGTGTGTTTTGGAAACTAGCTTTTTATGAAAATATTTATACAAGAAAATACCTCTAAACAAAACTTAGATAAAAAGCTTTTTGTGTTTAGTTTTATTATTTTTTATTTAATAAGAAAATGTGCAACCTTTTATTATATATTTTTTACCAATTTGCATTAAATTATAATTATAAATTTAAACTAGAAATTTTTGTGTGTGTTGTTTATGTAACTTTGTTGCGTTGTTTGACTCTCTGAACTGTTGTTTGTTTTATACTTTCATCTACAGTTTTATTAACCTATTCATCTACAGTTTTATTAAGGAAAATAAAGCAGGTTATTGTTTTTTTATATTCTATTTTATCTTTTTCTTATCTTTATTATGTCTTTCTCTAATGTTTTACTAAGTAAGTTTTGTAACTTCAAAGTATCACCTAGAACTTACTAAGTTCTAGGTCGTTACTAATATTATTGTTATTTTATTTCTTTAGTTATACCTTGGTGTTCAACTAACTAACAATTTATTTTGTCTACTGTTAAAATATGGATTTAATTTAGTAAATTTTAATGATTTGAAATTTACTTTATTTATCATTAGCTAGCAGTTTAAAAAAAAAATAATTTATTGCAATTAAGGTAAGAATAACATTAATAGAATTTATCGATAGAATTTTCGTACTGTTAGTTATTATATTTTTATTAGTAATTTGTGTAATATTTTATTGTCTTTGGAATTAGTATCTTTTAATTTAGATTTGGACTATTTTTAACACTGATCTATAAAATAATGTAATATTTTTTAATAATGATTTCATTTTATTCGATTGTTATGAGAACTTGTGAATTCTTGCTCACAAATAAGTTAATTTAAATGCTGTACTTACTACAAGTATGTCTTAAGATTATTGTTTATTACTAATGGAAACTCTTTTGCTTATTCAGGGTGTCTGTCATATCAGAGAATTCAATGTCTGTAAAAATATTTGAAATATCAGGGAAATTGGGCTGAAAAAATCAGAAAGAAATCAGGGGAAAAACCCTTTAGCAAATTTACTTAACTTATATCATATACATAATATAAAATTTTATTTTGGCAGTTTTATGAACTTCTCTTCATACTTTAAATGCGTATTGTGTTTATGTTGATGTTTTTGCTATTGAAGAGCATTTTTTTAAACAAAACTAAGTCTATTTTCTCTGATCTTAAAATGTTGGCGCACGCCCTGTCACTTACAAACCTTTTGACTCCACAGTCTCTAATATGGTTTCGAATAACTAGTACATAGTGATTTGTTTTTTTATTCTTGTCATAATTGTACCTACAAATTTTTATGATAGGGATGATATTAGCTCTATGTTTTAAAAAATTCATTTTCTCGAAAACAGAGATATTTTTAACATTGGACGCGCTTTTGGAAGAGGTTCAACAACATGCAAATGGTCAATGAGTGTTTTATCATGGATCAAATAATGGGAGAAACTAGATAAGACCTCTAATCTTTTTTATAAACTTCAAGGTAAATAAATTACTTTTAACTAGGGTTGTTCGCCGAAAAACAAAACTTGCGAAAATTTCGCATTTTTATCTACCGTAATAGAATTGTAATTGCGGAAGTTGCACATGCAAAAATGCACATTCCGTAACGCGCTATACGAAAATATAAATAAATAAAATTCCGTAATAAAGCATTGCGAAAGAAAACTTGCGAAACAAATCATTTCGTAAGAATACTTACGAAATAGTTCCTTACGGAAAAAGCATTCCGGAATGTGTAGTTACGAAAAAGACGCAAAAGATTTTATGTTACGATATATTTAAGATATTAACTGTTAACAGTTTAAATAATAAATAATAAAATTATAAAAAAATGTTGTCAAATGATTCTTCAAATGTTTATACAAATATACCTAATATATATATATATATATATATATATATATATATATATATATATATATATATATATATATATATATATATATATATATATATATATATATATATATATATATATGTATATATATACATTAACGGGGTTTTACTGTATATATATGTATATATATATATATATATATATATATATATATATATATATATATATATATATATATATATATATATATATATATATATATATATATATATGTATATGTATACATTAACGGGGTTTTACTGTATATATATGTATATATATATATATATATATATATATATATATATATATATATATATATATATATATATATATATATATATATATATATATATATATATATATATATATATATATATATATATATATATATATATATATGTATATATATACATTAACGGGGTTTTACTGTATATATATGTATATATATATATATATATATATATATATATATTTATATATATATATATATATATACATATATATATACAGTAAAATCCCGTTAAGTTGGACTCTCAATGAACAGATAAACAGTATGCCTTTCTTTTTAAAAAATATAAAGAGGATGTGTGATAAACAATTAAATACTTTATTATAAAGAACGAGAGAAAAAGACGCAAAAGATTTTATGTTACGATATATTTAAGATATTAACTGTTAACAGTTTAAATAATAAATAATAAAATTATAAAAAAATGTTGTCAAATGATTCTTCAAATGTTTATACAAATATACCTAATATATATATATATATATATATATATATTTATATATATATATATATATATATATATATATATATATATATATATATATATATATATATATATATGTATATATATACATTAACGGGGTTTTACTGTATATATATGTATATATATATATATATATATATATATATATATATATATATATATATATATATATATATATATATATATATATATATATATATATATATATATGTGTATGTATACATTAACGGGGTTTTACTGTATATATATGTATATATATATATATATATATATATATATATATATATATATATATATATATATATATATATATATATATATATATATATATATATATATATATATATATATTATATATATGTATATATATACATTAACGGGGTTTTACTGTATATATATGTATATATATATATATATATATATATTTATATATATATATATATACATATATATATACAGTAAAATCCCGTTAAGTTGGACTCTCAATGAACAGATAAACAGTATGCCTTTCTTTTTAAAAAATATAAAGAGGATGTGTGATAAACAATTAAATACTTTAT